TGAAGTGGCGGGGATACCTACACTCCGAGAACTTGTGGAATTTTGAGGTGTCACTTCGACAAGACTGCCCAAGCGTCGTGGACGCTTATGATAAGAACGCTAATAATCAGAAGGATTATGACGCTCCGCGTCGTCGTGCACCACGCGCTTCTCGGCAGTAGCCCGGGAATTAGAAGGTCTATGATCTGAGCTCAATCTATGGCCCTGAGCTGCTGTGGTCGTAGACTCACCCGTGTGAGATACCTCAGAGCTCGCGGAAGCGAAATGGATGATTTCATAGGGCGACAATACGCAGGATGTCGGCGTCACGCCTCGAGTTTTGCAAACTCAAATCTAAGATGGCTCTCTACGCGCACTTTTCTTTTCTTCTGACTTCGCTGTAAGGCAGACAGCGAGGAAAGTTTCCGGTGCCGCTGCATCCATCACTCAAAGAACTCCTCATCATGTGCAGTGGTTTTGCCAGGGGCAAGAGCCACAGGAATAGCCCGCATTGCGGGTACAGAAGCGCCTCCCTTTTGAGCTCGAAGCCGATCGCGGTATCGATCCATTGGGATATCTTGTCGTGCCAAAAAGCGAGCTTGGAGAGATTTTCGCTGATCTAGCTCAGCTTCTGTAGTGGCCGGGTGCCCAACTACGTAGACGCCCAACGATCGAGTGATCGCGTCTTTTGCGTCAGTAGAGGGACTCGCCGACCGGAAGCCGTATATCACTCCAGGTTCTAGGGCCGGACGTAGATACGAACGCATGAGAGCCGAGCGCATGAGAGCATCCAATTGCTGCTCTTGTACCTCATCGAGGCGATTGGCAACAAACAAAACCACTTCCATCGGAAGTCGAGAGGTCGGGGAACGGACACGGTGTCCGCAAGGTTCGAGCTAGTATCACCTTGCGTCGTTGACGCATCTCATCCTCCTCATATTCCCATGCCTGGAAATGATTATCCGAAGCGTAGTCGAACTCCTTCAGCTATTCGACGAGAGAATCCGTCGCTCGGGGAGAGCGCGGTGTGTGGCGTTTGGCTACTGAGGGCTAGGGGTGTGCTTCTTGTGAAGCGGCGGACGTACTGTTCGGAGATGCACTCCGCGCAGAAGAAGAAGGGCTTTGCCAGCGGGCACCCTCGGAACCAGCGAGGCTGGGGTTTTGCGTGTCATGGACCCAGGGCTCATTGAACAGGGAATGTGTAAAGATGGTCCCAGGGACGTAACGGTGTCTCAGACACGCGAGCCTCGTATGAGGCGACAATTAAATGTAAATGTGGATTTTCACAATTTTGATGGGGGAGAGTGTAACGGGGTTACACTTACCCTGGTATATGGGTCAGACAAGATGGTGTGACCGTACATAGGTCTGGATTATACAAGTTGGTGTAATCACAGAATGGTGTAGTTACACCGTAACAAGAAGCCACTACGTGGCAGGATTGCCAGTAGTAATACATATTACAATATCGATAAAGTTTTACTATATTGATTTGGTATCACTGTATAAATCAGGAGAACCTAGAGTTTAAGATATTGGCCGCTCTGCCGCAACTAAAACAATTAAATACAGTTTTAATTTTGAACAGAAGAGCATCTTTACCTTGATTAACGTTTTAAGTACTCTCGGAGGCAGCGAATTGCGATCCGCTGCTCTCGTACTGTGTCTTGTAAAGACGTTAGGCCGTCGACCTTAGCTTAGCTTCCCCTAAGCAAAGAGCTACGACATCCCCGCTGTATCTATTCTTCTCTTGACTGCTGTCGAAAGCAGAAAAGATCACAACCAAGTTCGGACATAATCTTCTTAATATAAACAGATTGTTGTTCACCAACCCTTCCAACCAAGGCCGGATTGAAGTCCGTAGGAAATGTGGGTAATACTGTTGGCAACATTGCCCGCTTTGTATGTCCCTGAATGATGAAAAAACTGTTGATTGCCGCCAAATATTAGAATTCTGGGAGAAAACATCAGAATGTATCATACCATGACATAGAAAAATACCTGAAAGTTACAGCTGAACGGAATCAATGATAGCTTGTCCTATTTTTTGATTTTGAAAACATGATAATTGCAATGGATATAAACCCGCAGCCGAGATCATAAGCAAAAAACATTCATGAACATGCTGATTACATCTTTGACCATCAAAATGAAACTAAATAAGTACTTTGATGCTTATGGTGTCGGGAATATTTTTTTCAAAGCCATCAAGTTTTGAAAGTAAAGCTATTTATGTCATTGAACTAATGCAGCCATGTCGCTGCGCGCTTTGCACAGAAAAATCTTTGACTCTTAGAGTCCACATTTACGAATCCACCGAAGTTGAGTTCTCTCGCTCCAAACAAAGAGCGAAACCGAGAGTCCTGACAGTAATTTTGCAGCGGGGCTGCCGTAGCTTTGCGCTTTGAGGAAGCGTAACTTAGGTCACCGACCTTTCGTTCTAAAGTTTGTACAAGTACGAGTTAAGCGGATCGTAATCCGCTTAATCCAAGTGTAGTTATTGCCTTAACCCATGGCTAATTAACTCTTCCGTTTCAAATCCAAAACTGACTTTATTTATTTTTATCTGCGGCAAAGTCGCCTATTTTT